GGGGATATTCACCACCTGCAATGCTTATGAAAACATCTAAGTATTGAATTCCTTGCTGCTCCCAGGTGAGTTTTCTTTTTTTCTTTTTTTCTTTTTTTTTTTTTTGATATAATACAAAAACTTTTAGGATTTCCTTTTAAAGCACTTAATCTGAAATTGCTGTGTGGTTTTGACATCAGGTTCATTTTTGACCACTCTGAAAGCTTTTCAGAAACTCCCAGCTTCAAGGAGCTGGAATAAAAGGCATTTTTCCTTCCTGCCCTTTTCATACTGCTGGGTTTCAGGAGGGCAAGGGTGAGTTGTTATTGCTAGTCACCTGAAAACAATGTTAAACTCTGTAGGTATTGCTGGACAGGCACTGTAAATGATGGATTTGGGCAAAATCAAGAAAGTGCAAAACATCATGGGAGTGGGTTAAAAACTGGCCCAGGGATAGGGTARGTGTGCATTAAGGCAATCAAAGAAGAAATGCAGCTAGAAGCCAAACTTTTCCAGGCTGGATCAAAAGTCATCTGAATTATTCTACTAACAGGTATATTTTGGATCTGGTCCTTATTTATATTCAGTCTTTTGGGGTCATTCTCCCACAGATGGGCAGACTTTGGTTCATCTGATCCCTAAGCTACCGGGGGCAACATTTTCTGGTTCTGAAACAAAAATATAGCAAAACAGGGAAGGGAGAGGGGCATAGCAAATAAGAGAAGGTGCTTAGGCATGTACTCTGGACTAAGAGGAGAAATAAGGTAATAAAGGAAGGATACTTTGCAGTTTCCAGCAAAGATTAAGACAGAGCATAAGAGTGGGAAAAGGACAGCCAGCTTGGTAAACAGGTATACAGAACTAGATATTTAGCTGCTTTAAATCACAACTTTTTCTTTGGTCTAAGGTTTTCACTGTGTTCCTGTTTGGATGTACAGAGCAGACAGCACATAGGTATAGAGGGCATACAGCATCCCCTCTGCACGCTGTCTCTCTGAGGTAAGAACATGTGTAACCCTATTTTTTTAAAAAAAGAAATCCTCAAAAGCATATAGACCCCTTCACATTCCAAATCTTTTCTCACTGCCACCACAAAACAGGAGCAATTCAGTACTGTGGTACTGTTAAAAGCTATGAAATGYCAAAACTCCATCTAAGGGGAAAGATTCCCCGACACCTTCATCATTAGGCATTGATCAAAAAATGATTTGCAGCAAGTTTTCCACATGAATTTTCTAAATAAGAGTCAGGTAACCTCTCAGTCCAGTGTTTATATGTGGAGCCCTTTTWAAGTGCAGCTTTCTTCTCCTGCACTGGTACTCTCTTCTCCTTCAGTAGCACACACTCTGCTCCCTCTGCTAGGTACATGATATGCTAGCAAAGCTGGTCCCAACTCCACTGACTTGCTGTGCTCTCCATCCCCTTCTCCCCAATGCATTATTTACTATCCCCTTTGGACTTTGTCCTAGGTTCCACCCTCTTGATTGGAGCTAATTTACGATGGTTCTCGGACCTTGGTCATCCATCTAATTGTTTTTAATCCAACTGAGAATTTTGCCCTCAATATCTATGTCCCAGAGGGATTTACAAAGAAAGATTAAGGACACTAGATAGCTATGTGAATTAGTCTGACTTAGTTCTAAGTGACTTAGAAYAAGTCAGAGCAGTCTGAGGGCTCTAAGGTGTCTATGGTGTGCAAACATTATCGGCAGGATTGTGTCTTCCTTGTGCTTGAAGAGGACTAATTCCCCTGAAATTGGTGGCCTGGGTCACACAGAACAGTCAGTTTGAAAACAAAAAAAACAGGGTCATAATGAGGGAGGAAGAATTGTTCAGCTTATAAGGGGTTTTGTGGAGGATTAAAGGATGAAACTCATACGGAAAATGTAAGCTGAATGTCATGGAGAGCACTGAAATTGTGGAGGGGTCACCCCAGAGCAGGGGCTGTAAGCTTTGTCATTTGAGTCATTTAGAACCAAATAAGGCAAAAACTTTCAGCATCTACAGTAAATAATGGTCCTTCATTTTTGTCAAGGACTAGGATGGCACTGATTTCTGTGATACTATTAGACTAATGCAACCTGATCCACAGGACTTCAGCAAAAACCTTTCAGGATGTCCAGTGATAGGGAATGTGCAGCTCCATGCTGTCATTTCTTGTTGTCGTTGCCTTGGAGAAGTTATTCAGATCTGCTAAAGGAACAAAATGTTATTGTTACCAGATTGGAGCTGAAGGTCTCTGCCAGACCCTTTGGTTAGAAATTATAGGCATGCTTTCATTCGAGAAATGGGATGAAGCTACTAARATGAATTCAAGATGTTTCTAGCTGGGACAAATGTAGCACAATTGTAGGGTGATTAGATGGAGCGGTTCATTCTGAAGCAGCACAGGTAGCAAAGCACCAGAGATGAAAAATCTGACTCCTTTTTTCAGCCACCTTCTCAGAGAGGTGAATCGCTTATGCTCTCTTCCCCACCAGCATATGCTCTCTGTCCCTGCTTTTCAAAGGATAGACAAAAAAGTCTGCTTTATAAAGAGTTTCCAGAAGTTCAGAGGAAAACAGCTATGTAAATGTTAATTACAGTTTGATGATTATAGTTCAATGGTTATTCTTGTGACTACCTCAGACCATTAATCTGAAGTTAGAATTAAACCACAAATGCATTATTATGGGTAAGTCTTATTAAAGTGGTCAAATGACTCATTTCTCTGATGACCTTTTGCCGGGCAAGTTTCAGATATTATTCCCAAAGAAATATTTTAAGCGTTAATATGGAATTTAGGAGGCCCCAAAAGCTGTGTGTGCYGAACCTGGCATTTTCTGAAAACAGAGCTCAGAACAGTGCATAAGTTGGATCCTAGAGATTAACACAGGCATGAAACAAGGGAGCTTTTTATTTTATTTTATTTTTCCCTTGCTTTGATTATAGGTATTGGATGCAGGAAAAGGGAAAGTTGCCAGTTTCTGACAAGATGAGATGCAACTTGGAAGTCCAGGAGATGCCAGAAACTGCCACAATAGTTTGTTCTACCAGCTCCTCAAAATAAATTTACAAATATTATGAAAAATAAACTGAAAATATCAAGCCCTAGGCKTAGGTGGATTTATATGGGTGGAGAAGATACACATATTCTGAAACTTGGAACTGCAGTTTGGTGGTGGATTCTGAAACTTCATAACCAAAGAGAAAAAACAAGAAAATTTTTCTGAATCAAACTATGTAAGTATTGATACTATTTGTGAAAAAAAAAAAGAATTCTAAGGTATATAAAGGAAAAGCAAATAAAAGTTTTTGATTTTTTCTGAATAAAAATTRTCAGGTTTATTGAGCAGCTCTCCTTCTGGTTGCTCTGTCTCAAAACAGGGCTTCTAGATGATCTCATGTGTATTCCCTCAATGTGAGGCAGTGCTTCCAGATCCTGGTACTACCAATCATCTTTCACATCTTTTGTCAGAATTATGCCTCATTTTCTTTAGAAGCTTGCAGAGCCWCAGCTGTGTGGAAGATACCTGTTGCACTGAGACAATTTACAATCTAGAAACTGCATGAATGCATGGACTTCACCCAAATTGTAAACTTAAGTGTGAACAYGTTTCTCTCCATAAAATGCGCTCAGGGCACTTGCTGTAAAGGTGCACAAGGTGAATACCATAACTAATTCTTGTTATTTTTAATCAGTTACATCCTTTAACTTCTGAACTGAGCTGAGGTTTAGCCCTTTGTCTGGCTAGACCATGTTTCAGATGTTAGGCAAGATGCTGGGGATGAAGAGGACATAGACTAAAGATTCTAGCAGAAAGGTGCAAAATGACACAGTACATTAGATTTCTGCTGAATTGTTTCAGTTTAGAGAAATGAAAGCTCTTCAGGCGAAGGTTTTGTCTCTTTTCCCGTTCTTCCTCCCCAGATGTCTGGAAGGGGGACCACATTTTAAAGGTTTTGCTCAGTAGCTTTCCCTGTCAGTATGCAATATGTACTGTGCTCACAAGACTGAAGAAGGCGTAACCCTTTAAATAATRCTTTCCAGTTATGCTCCCTGTGAAAGCTGGTGGAAGCAGAACTAGACCCTGAATAAGCAGGAGAAGCAGCCATATGTTGGACGGAGATGAACATTATGGAAATGATAAGACTTACAGACATTTGGTATGTGGGTAGGCCAATCTCATTATTGATCTACAATTAAACCAAATGGAGGGGTCATACCCTTCTATTAGGTGTAGTCGATTAAATTCAGTTAGACTGTCTCTTTTTGTTATTATTTCTGATGGATGGAACTTTCTTAATTCAGGTCAAAAAATGAGAGGCTTCCTCATAAGCATTTTAATTAACARATGAAGAATTCTCTTGTCCCCAGAGACTGACAGTATCAAACCTAGAGCTCAGTACTACTCCCCTTCTCAGACTGTCATACTTTTAAGCTCAAATTGTGTTTATGACTCTTTATTCAACTCAGCTAACAAATCAGACTCACCCACCTCCCTCCCTAGTCCCTAAGAAAAAGTAAAATACTTTAAAAGTTTTATTTTTGACCTAGACATGTTCTTAGTTCCCCAAGCAAATGAGGACCAGAATGCACAAGGAAAGCAACCTAAAACTGCTGAGGTAAGCCCTTTGGTGTGGACCTCAGGCCTGTTCACACCTCATCACAGGTGTTTTCTCTGCTGCAAGCCACCTCTGTAATAGGATCATCCAATGTTGTCTCAGGAGTAAAACTCCAGTCTTTCTGCATGCTTGCTCGATGCACTTTTTTTGCCAGGTAGAGCCTCTCAGTAAAGTTGTTTGGTTTCTGCAGAGCATGTTGCTCCTMATATCAGAGGGGAGCTTCTTCCAAATCTGCGCTGGTTCACATTCATATTTTCTAGGCTTCTTGTAGTGATATTTCTGTGCCAAGCTGATTTCACACACAGGCTATTCATCATCCYGCCAGGCTTCTTCGAGGAGACAGCTCACCCCAAGTACCATCATGGATAGTAAAAAAGGATGCCCTTGAAAATCTCCAAACTCTGCTATATCCTCCTCTATGTGGAGCTGCCACAGCCATTGCTCTGTTCCAACCTGTGGGGCAGCAAGGTGTTGTAAGGAGGATGGTAGTTGAAGACCAGATAAGGTTTAGGGAAGGGTAGGAGCTCCAAGTGATGAGGGGCAAAGGAGAGCACGCTGGGCAGCCAGGCTGTTGTCAGATGCCCTTGTAGTGGTGAGTAGTATCCCACAGCAGGAATGGTGGCAGTGAGTTTTCTGGGCACCAAGCTAGGAACCTTTCAAATATAAAAATGAAGTCTTAGGTAAATCGATACAGACTTTGAGTCAGATACAATCTACAGGCAGCTTTATTCATTTCCACAGTTCTCAGTACTTAAGAGGAAATGTTTAAAAGAATGGATTCCCTAAAATCTAGTGATGTGCTGTCATTCAGGGGGAAGAGGCAAAATACCCTTTGCTCAAACTGTGGAAAATCTCCTGGCAGGCAAAGAGCCTGTGTGCCAGCCTAGATAATACTAACCATCGTGAACTTAGCAAGGACATGGTCAAGAGCAAAAAATCTCTGATCAGCCTAACAAGTCTAGACATAGCAAAGAGATGTTGMCCGTCAAAAGAAATAAGATATTTTGGTTGCAAATATCATATTTGTTCCTATTTAGAACATTTTTCATTTTATGATGTTTTAATCCAAAGTATGATTTAAAGGAAAATGATAGGGAGGTACCACATATATATACAAAAGAGTATTCATTTCAAGAAAAATGTCATATTACTTATTCCTAAAAGGAAATGCATTGTTCAACCACATTTGCTGGGATCTRTCTTGTTCATATTGCCATTTTCTTCCTGTTCTGTTCTCTGTGTCAGAGATAGATAGTACCATGTGAAAAAGCAATCCAGAGAAGAATAGCTTCTCCAGGAAGCTACCTTTCACTTTTTCTCCCTCAGGGGCTACATAGCTCCCCACACTCCCTCAAGGGTACACATTGGTTCTGTAACTCACTGTGATATCTGCTTTGGGAGCAGGAATGAAATCAACTTCTGTCAGGTGCTGAAGACCACCAAAGTTGCCAGATTTTTCATTTTTCCTCCATTTTGCTCGCTGGTTCTGGAACCAAATCTGGATACAAGGAAGGATAATTGAGAAAGAACAAGACCTAAATACAATGAACAAGAGACATAGRAAGAACTGCTCTTATCCAATTATTTTCCTTACTCTTTTAAGTAATGCATAACATTGGCTTCCAGCTCAGCAAAGCCAGAGTGCGAACCTGGGCTTTGATACAGTACCTTCCTCCCTCTCATTCTATATAGTGTATAGGATCTCTGGACTTTTGTGGCAGTCACTTTTTTTTGACGGCTCACAGAGAACCCACTATTTCCTTGGTGAAGGAAATACCTTTCAGTGCTTTTCTGAGAAATCAAATCCTTCACAGTCTACCCTTGACCACAGTCAAGGTGTTTGGTATTCTGCTTTTCYGAAGAAGTGCACTTGCTGTGTGTCAGGGCCCTTCCACCTGCTRGGTGAACAGTTAGGGAAAAAGGTCCACTTAGAAGTTCTGCTGGGCTACAATAAAAGTGTCACCAGTGGAGCTGTAGAAACAGCATTCTTTCTATATTTAGCTGGTAACATTTTGAAAATCCCGTAAGTGACCTAAGCAAAGAACCCAAGGGGATGCAACCTTCTAAATCACTCAGGACTATGGACATGTTACCTGCCATCTCCTTTGCACTAGACAACAGAGAGCTAATTTTCTCAAAGGAGATTCTTTCATCTGTCAGCTGATTTGATCTTTCTGGCTTCTGGCTGAGCCATGCAGGTATTTATTGTACAACCACAACAGTACATCTTTTGCATTTCTGTGAAAAGTTGCATTCCCCTTCCTTTGTAGACAGATCATTGCTTATTGAATGCAAGCATTCGCTTTCTAGGCAAGTAGTTCAAGTGAACACAAGGTCTATGGTTTGGGTCTATGACCCAAAACAGATACTATTGAATGTATGTGTGTGTATATATAATAATATATTTATGTTTGTGTGTGTGTGTATGTGTATGTGTATATGTATATGTATGTGTATGTGTGTGTGTTTTTTTTAAATCCAATAATGAACAACTCAATTATTTTTGCATCTCTTGCCCAAGAAGTAATGGGAATGTCAGGAGACCTCTGCTGTATTGCTGATAGTATTAGTATCTGAGGTTAGTGAAAGGTCAGCCTTGTTTATCTGGGTTTGCACGTGTTTGAGAACTGCTTAGTCTGTATCAACTGTTCAATTCCCTTTCTACTAGGTAAGTTATATGGTGAAAGAGCACCATGAAATGACTTTACTCCAACACTGATAAAGTGGCTGAGGGCAGACAGGGGACTAAAGCCAAATTCATGCTTTGAAGTGTTCTTTCCAAAGTCTGCATATGGGCTAAAGTTCTCACTTCATGTATTTTTCTAATAAAGTGACAGCTCTGTTCACAGCTGGCACTGTCTTTTTTTTTTTTTTTTTTAATTTCCAACCAGCCCTCAACAACCTTTACCCCTAAAATGTTTTTTTTTTTAGTGTCCATTCTGAATTTCCCTTTCTGAGATTTCAGTCTGTTCCTTSATGCTCTATCCGTCAAAGATATGAAGATACCAATATCCTTTGCTTTCTGCACTCTATTAACCTTCAATTTTCCAGTGTTCCTGTGTGATGGCACTGACATAGAATACAATATGMTAGTGTGTGTCTATGTAAGTTACATCAGTGCTCAAATGAGGTCTGAGTCCCTCCTGCCTGAGATTCAGCAAGGGGCTGTGTTTGCCCTTTCTGTCTCAGCACTGGCCAGGAAGAGGGTGAAGGAGGGAGCTCAAGAACCTGTATGAAGAATCAACAACTGAAAAAAGGAGTKCAAGGGGTAGGTGTGTTTGTTGAACACCCCATTTCAGAAGACTGGCCTCGCTTTGTTAATCTTTAAGATTATCTCTTTGTTGGGTTTTTTTTGCAGACACATGAGCGATGATCCCGAGCAGCCTGTATCCAAGCCTCAACCTTTTCATTATTTACCACCTCTATAATCTTATTACCATTTCCTAACTCCATCATTAAAGATTTCACTAACTGAGTAGTTCATATTCATCCTTGTGTCAATAGACATTACCTTGAAAATATCCTCATCAGCTATCAGACACCTGTTAGGTACCCAGATTTTTGTGTACTGGGATATGTCCTCTTGACTTCGTCTGTGATGTCATTCCAAGTGGATTTCAGGACTAAGTGGCGTGTCCTTATAGAGACATGCCATCAATGCTATTGCCTCTAGCAACACTATACATTATCTCATCCAAAAATGATGAGTTTTACAAGATCTATTTTCTATAAGCCAGTTTGATAAGTATTATACTACTTTAATTCTTCATTAACAGAAACTCAAATCAGCTTTATCACTGTTTTTGTCTAAAATCAATGTTTGGCTGACAAGCCAAACACCATCTAGTTGTCCTATTTGCTCTCTCAAATACTGACACAATATTAGCTCTCTTCCAGGCCCCTGGAATTTCTCTTGTGTTCCAGGACTGATTAAACATCAACAYGGATGACCCAAAGTGCTTCTCAGGCAGCTTTTTAAGAACTACTGAAGGCAAGTCAGATAGATGACTTGATTTAAAAATATCTGCAGCAACTACTGTTTAACATTGCCTTGAAGGAGTGTTTCATCATCCTCACATGATGCTACTAACTTCATCTGACATATTTCCAAGAATATAGAAAAAATAAGGATTGACCATCTCTGCCATTGCTTCATTATCCTTGACATTGTTTCTATAGAGGAACAGATCAACAAAATAGTTCGAGTTCTTTTGTTCTTATGAAAATCTTGGTCTTTCATGTGATTTGGCTTTCAGTAGAGGACACTGACCCAGTTTGCACTTTATATCACTGGAAATACATATTTTTGGAAATGCATTGTGGGTGAACTGATATCACTAATGGGCACACTACAGCTCTGCTGTTCCAATTTCCCCTGTCACCTAACAATGAAGCAGTAGCATAATGGTTATTTGATAGTCCCATGTATGCCGCAGTCAATAAACTGCTCTGTGTTGAACTTTGAATGTTAGAGTGGGATTTCTATACAGAAATACACTGGTAACTCTAGTGTTTTGGCAAGTAGAGAAATTGTATGCCGCTGCAATCATCATGATTGCTGGCAACATGAGTGACTGGCAAACATCAATTTTCAAAACACAGCAATGTGTGCATTTTAATGTAGCAGACTGCGTACGCAGTAAGTGTTTGGTGTTAGATTTTGATCCCTGTCAAAAAGATTTCATTATAGCTTGTGGGGGGACTGGACGAGTTTTCACTGACTGAAATTACACTCAAAATGCAGAGCAATTGAAGAGCATTTGCATTTGTGCAATTATTTTCACTTTTTATAGTAGAAGTATATTAGTCTATAAAAGATTGAAAAACGATTAATAAATATTTTCATAAATGGCTGCTTGGTTATTACAGAGTTCAACAGGTTGATCGTAGCCATCTGTAGGTCCTATTTGTTATGTGATTAATATGCTTAGAATTTCTGTTAACCCTTTGGTTTATTAATCCTGTCTGGGTGATACTGGCCTTCTCTGCCAGGTTTCACAGAAATCATGTATTTCATTAAATGTGCCACCCACACATAAACTATTAATAATGTATCCCGAATGAAGAACTGATGTGGTGGAACTTAGCCCATTGGACCCCAAATATACCTGCACTCTGGCTTCTGGGAGATTGATCTTTGCTGCCAGCTGGTTGCGGATATGGATATCAGGGTAGTGAGTGACTTGGAAAATCTTYTCCAGTTCTTGGAGTTGCTCAGCTGTGAATGTTGTCCGGATTCTTCGTTTCCCTTTCCTCTCTGTGCAAACAAGAAAAGGTAATTGCAGTTTATAGAGAAAGAGTATATTCAGACAGGGCCACAAGAAGATTCAGGGATCCAATTGGTGTAAATTGCTATGCAATGGGGATGGCATCACCAAAACCTTCTAGAGATGTGCTTATCATAGGTCACCATCTCTTGACCCAGCCATGAATGTGGACTGCATTGTTCAGAGGGTGAAAGGTGTATAATTCCAGGACTAATTTCATTGATCATTTTTGTGCCAATTGCTACACAAATTAATTAGTGTTAGATAGACTTTGACTCCTTTTTGCTCATGTCTATCACAAGTGGACAATGCTTCTTTCTAATTCATATTCCTTTACAAACCATTTATGAAGAAACCCTTCATGAAAAGGGAACTAACTCATTCCATTTTGCCTTGGTGCTATTCTYGGGCCCACAATTAATCACCATTATCCTTTCGGTTTATAAGTTTTACTTTCCTGTCCCATTTCCTGTCATACTGTCCATACTAAGCTTTCCTCAAGTTCTGAAGTATAACACACTCAGAAGAGTAGTTTGAATATCCAAGTTCACCTACAGTCTTTTAGTAAATAAAATATCCATGTTTTCCTGAAATTTGGGATGATTTTTTTCCCTAATCAGAAGACCATGAATCTCTCTGGGCAGAGGGAGAACTCTAAGTAAATGCATTCATTATTGCCCTTAAGTGTCACCAAGAGAACCATYGACATCACTGTCATTCTGCCACATGAAGACCTGCATTAATACTTTCCTCTGTATTCTTGTGTCGACAAACCTTCAGCTGTTTCTTGTCTTCTAACATCCTTCAGCAAAATTTGCTCCCATCTCTTTGCCCTGCCCAAGCCAATCAGGCTAATCCTACTCTAAAGCAACTGACTCCCAAGCTCCATGATACACAAGCTCAGAGCAGTTGAGAAACTCCAGTGTGAGTGGATATTTGCTTGGCCTAATTCTGAGCTAGATCTTTTTCTTTTGTTCATCCACTGAGTTGGATGACTATGCTCTTTCTGTATGTGAGGAAGATCAAAAATACTCAAAGAATATYGACTCCAAACTGATCACGTGGCTTCTGCTCTCMTTTGCTAYCTATTATTTCAGCAGTGCTTAGTGATAGCCAACGGTTTCATTGCAAATGGTAAGCACTGTGATAGTTACTTTAAAAATGTTCTCTCAAAAGGAAAAGACATAATGGTCTCCTGATTACACTGTCGTGATGTGGGGACCTTCTGGACAAGTTTGACCTTAAAAGCTGCAAAGCAGAGACCTTAAAACCCACAGACGAGTGTATGGAGACCTTCAGATGTGAGAATACTGCATGGAGTTCTTAGACTGCTCCATAATTTATTGCAGTATGACCGCTGTAATAGGCTTTTCCCTCAGTATACCCACACCATTTTGAAATGCTTTTCTACACCAGGGCATTTCATTTAGATCTTGAACTGTGTGTGCTACTTTGTATAAATTAGAATCAGATCTGGATTGGTCTCTGACATAATGCTGAAGGGCTTATGTTTTGCAAGGAGAAAGAAAAGGAGTAGTAAAAGTGAGTTTTAAGGCAGCTGTTCTGCAGAATGTGGAGTACAGCGCCATTACAAAGTCTGTCTTTCTGGTGCACAAACAAACAAAAAAAACCCCAGATGTTGAATAATCAGTGTAAAAAAGCCATAGCAGAAGTTTGTGAGCTGCGGGTTTTTTTTACTACTCAGCTTGCTAACTGCAGCCTGATAGCACAAAAATTCTAATCTCAACATGGATTACAATGAGCTTGCTACTCAATGACCTGAGGTAATTGGCAATGACATCATGTTGCTGAAGAAAATGACCTTTTTCAGTAATTGCTTTTGGTCTTCCATGGTCTGATGAGAGCTACCATTTCATATCTTGTAACTAGATGCATATACTTCCTAATGGGAACCGCTACTCAGAGAAGGTTAGCTTAGTCCCTTCAAAGAGATTTTGCTCTTTCTTTTTTCCTTTTGTACAATCATTAGCATAAACTATTCCTTTGGAGAGCTAAAACAGTGAAAAGGTAACTAAACTTCCTAGCCAATATAAATTGGACTCATAGCCAACAGGAAATGATATCTCATTCTGTAACGGAAGCACAGAAAACACAGAACACAGAACCAGAACACAAGGAATAAATAAAGGAACACAGAAGGAACACAGAACACAAGGAATAAATAAATTGCTCCATCCCCTTGTTGCAAGATGCCTACGACATGATATTTGGGGATCAGTAAGTAAATATATTCTACTGTGAATATTTTGTCTTTTCTAAACACTTCAGGCACTTTCAAATGTAAACCAGTTATGCAAGAATAAGTGAAGGCCGTCATTTATCATAAACACTGTCAATATTCCCATATCTCAGGAACAGCTTAATAAAGCTCTTGTCCAACATAGTTAAATATCATTGGATTTTTCACCAGCCTATCAAAGTAMCACTCATTAGACTGCATCCCTGGTTTCAGCCCCCAGGAAAAAATGCCATTTAAAATGAATCTGAATGACACTCTTGGGGCAGTGATCTGAAATGGGACATATTTTTATGCATATATGCTGAAGATAGCAATGGGATTCTGTCTCCTAGAAGCTCTGATTACCAAGTTGCGTCAGCTTGAACCGTCCCAGAAGACATATAAGGAAAGGAGAATTTATTCCCATATGGAATAAAATGAAAATAGTGATTATCAGTGCAGAGAATATGAATCTCAGGATACTAAGTCCACTGTGAATATGACAGTGTTGACTTTGTTATGGTGTCTCTTCTCTGCAAGAGTTTCACCTCACATGTCTTTGTGGTGCCTGGCCTTCATATCCTCCTGGGAGATACTACCGACAGGTAAGATTGAATACTGAGGTGATAATTTTGTCAAGTACATCATGTTCTTTTATGCAGTAATGAATCTCCCTGCTATATGTGTATCACTACAAATATGGTATTTGTATTTCCTTAGTACAGAGCAATTCAAACAGAGTATCCAGACAACAAATGAATTTTGCCCTGACCCKGACATTATCTTGGACATCTGAGGTCTCCCTGAGATGTCTTACATGTCTCCCTGAACACTGATCTGAGCTCCTGAATCTTGCCAGAATGGGAAACTTGCTTTCTAAATTTATGAGAAGCTTCAATCTACCTCCARCATTCCCAGAGTGGAGGAAGCGATCCAAGAATTCTGTAGCTTAAACTGTGACCATCTTTACCCTATATTCCCAAAAGCACCAAGAGTCAGAAAGCCTTCAGGAGAAAAAGAGCAACCCTTCCCCTCTGAAAAAAAAAAATCTGAATTATTAAAATAATCAATTTATATGTTTCTTTTTTTAAAAAAGTGTACTTCATTAACTGAACTAAAATTTTATGAGTATGCAAAAATAGAAAGGAACTATCGACATTTTAAAATCTAATAAATCATACCAAATGAAAAAGTGTATTTTAGTATTCCGTTAGAATACAGCAAACTGGCTTAGTACTGTATAAAACTTTCTGCTTCTTATATTGACCATTCTATTCCCGATAGAATTAGGATAACTAAATGAGGTTATGATAGGAGTGAAGTGAAGCTGAATACCAGGGGAATCAAGATCTCATTGCAGTCAAAGCACTATATAAACAGGTAGCAATCAATAGTTCTTGCCTGCAAGCACAGGCATGACAACTATCACCACCACCTCATAATGTGGAATCAAAGCTAAAATCAAGACTTTTAGAGCCTAAACCAGAGGCTATTACCCAATCTGGAAAGGAATTGCTTACAGTATTAGAGAATACTAGATGCTGGGCTGCTGTTCCATTAAGAATATGTCATACACACCTGAGATAGAAACAATACGGTAGATATCTATCCACGGCTATCAGCTTAAGAAGTTCTGACTGCTGCCATGACACTTTGTGCAAAGTTCATTGGAATAATCAACCTACGTAGGCTCAAGAAATCAGGTGTAACAAGCAATGCAGTACCATCTCTAGAGAGACACAAGGTGAAACAAACTCAGTAGTGAAGTTTGAGAGTATGTATATATCAACCCTAAAAAGAAATAATTCAGAATGAGAAGACCAAGACTGTGCATAGGTACTTACAGCTGGAGCATAAACTTTTAGTGGAGATGGGATGTCTTAATGCTCCTGAGACCCTGTCCCTTTCTCCTGAGACACATGGTATTTTGAGTCACGATGAAGATGGGCTGAGGAACAGAAGCACCTRTTAATGTTTTCTATGACACTGGAAGCTGAGAACTGTCCAGGACCAGATAGCAAGGCTTCAGAGAGAATAGGCCYTTGAGTTGCTGCTGTCTCATATGACCTTTTCAGTACAAAAATGACCCATATAATCAGGAGATGAGCAAAAGAACCCTCTACATCAGTGCRTTCTCCCCAGTTGTCCTTCCTGAAAGAGTATAGAGAGCTGTTTTACAGACCACATGCTTATGTAAGGGATAGCATCTATGCAGTGCAGTGCTCAGAAAGGGTCATGTCTAGTGAAACCAAATTTTCAAAATTGGAACTTGTCAGATTGAACAAAATAAAAAACCTGAGGTCGTTGGTGGSCCAGTAGAGACTGAGGGACAGCCTTTGATTTCAGCTAGAAATAAAATTAATTTGCTAGCGAAATAGACTCTGTCAACTAGTCAAGCATTTTTGCCAGTAGGAAAGCTGGAAGAATGTATTTTTACTATAAGTAATCACTCATTCTATTTTTGTTTCAAAAAAATTCTATGGAGAAATCTGGGACTATATGTTAGCATTTTCTCCTACAAGAAAAGACTTTGTAGTTTTGATACTCTCCTTTTTCTTGGGATCTTCAGAGCTGAGATCCCATAGCAAACAATGGCATTTAGAATCACAATCTAATGAAGAATGTGTGTGGAAGATAGAAGACTAGAAAGTGTCAGAAGTGTAACACTGGCTTTACAAACCTGGCTGTAGAGTCACCAGGGAAATAAGACTCTGTCTGAGTTTCCTGAGCTGTTTTCTATATAAAAGCTGG